TTTGTCCTGGGAGTGGAGTTCAAGCAAACTGGGAATGAGGAATTCAAGCAAACTGGGAAGGAGACAGGGCAGGGTTCGAGTGGGTTGGCTTCGTTCCTGCGCTGCTGGTTTGCTGTTGAACTGATTTATTTATTTTTTTCCACCCGTTTATCCTGGGAGATCATTCACCCCAAGTGGTGACTCTCTCCCCCTTCAAAGAAACACGAAGATCTCTTCAAGGCTTGGCTCAAATTCATGTTAAATCCCTGTGGACTTCCCCAGTTTCCCGGAGAAAAACCTCATCCTTTTGGCTGTTTGATGCCGTTTCTCTTCTGAATTTATTTAGAGTGGAAGCTGGAAAGAGCAGCTCTTTCATTACCTGTACAGATTGTGGCTTAAAAATGCCTTTTTTTTCACCCCAGAGCGTGCTTTATTGCGCTTTGGATAAAAAAAGAAAAAAGTGTTTGGGATTCTCACCTCCTTTTGTTCCTTAGTGGAAAAAAAAAATATAAAAAAAGGATGTTTCTGCAAGTAAATTGGATAGGGTTAAAAAATGGGAGGTGGTTGAAAAATTAGTGCTCCGGGCTGGGTGTAATTAACTGTTCTTTGTGCCTTGCGTGCAGGACAAGTCACGGCTTAGACTCCTTGAGGTGGGGGAGCTCCCTGAGGTGGGCAAGGGAGAGGAGAAGAGAGAGTGGCCCCTTGGGAGGGGATCCCCAGCGTGGAGGACTTGCCCAGCCAAGCCAATCCCCACAAAATGAGGAGGGGGGACTTCTTTTCCATGCTGAAGACCAGTCTTAGGAGCGGTTTGCCTTGTTTCTGTCTTCAGAATTGGGTGTAAACCTAAAAAAGCCCACCTTGGGCAGCGTGTTTGGGTGGGGTAAGGAAGAGGATGGTCTGAGGCTTAAGGTTCCTTTCAAGGACCTGGGTGGGAGACCCCCCAGCGCTGAGCGAGTTGGGCCGCAGGAGCAGAGCCAGCACCCCCAAGACACTGATTCCTTGCTAATAGATATAAAAATGGGCATTCTGAGATTATCTGGGGTTTCACAGCTTCCTGGGACCCTTCTAAAATTGCTCTTGAAGGGTGAAAATCAAACAGTTGCTCCTCCTGCCTCTCCAGCAGAGGGGACATAGGGGACATTCAAGCCCATCCAATATAAGCCCTTCAGGCTTCTGTTACATCTGCCTGAAACAGAAGAGGCTTTTGAGGGGGGTGAAACAGCTTGGCAGGGGGGGCTGCTTGTTTCCCTCCGAGCACAGAGACGTTTAATAGCTACAGTCAGGCTTCCTTCAGGGAAAAAAAAAACCTCTTTCTTGCAGAATTTTCAATTGCAGTTAGAGCTGTCTTGAGAAAACCAGGAGCCCATGGGCTCTGGGATGGTTTTCCTCCTTTTCCTTCTAAGTATCATTCTTGAGGGGGTTTGTTTTGTCTTCTCTTCATAGCCCTTCTACTTAGCAAAGGGGTTGGCAGGTTGTTTGGAGTTTATCATTCTTGAGGGTTTTTTTTTGTCCTCTTTTCATAGCCCTTCTACTTAGCAAAGGGGTTGGCAGGTTGTTTGGAGTCTTACAGCCTCTTGTACTCCCACCTTGGGTCTTCAGTAGCAGGAGTTTGTCTTCCTGAGGTCTCCCATCCTCATCAACTATCCATCATCCTTTTTCCAGTACAGCCAGACTCCTTCTCCCCGTTGCCTTTGGCCAATTCCTTGCAGGAATGGCTTGTCCTTGTGTAGCCGGGGTTCTACAACGAGGAAGAGAAGTTGTTTACCAAGAAAACTAGGAGAGGAGCCCTTCATCTTCCTCCTCCTCCAGTCCTACAAGGCTTCTTGTAGCAAGCGCGCTACGTAGGGCATTTTGGGGAGACAGCAGAATAGAGAGGCTTGAAAGTACAGTAAAATGAGTTTGCCATCAAAAGGCAACAAGTCTTACGCCGTGCCCCCGGCTGCTGACCTTTCCCTCTGGAATTCTCCCCTCTGACCTCCGGATCATTAATCCTGATGCTGCCAGATGACAGTAATCCATCATGGCCCCTTGACAAGCCTCGCAGCCGCCTGTGAAAGGATCCGGCTCGGCTTCAGCATCCAAATCGTCCCATGATACTCGTTTTTCAGCTTTTCCTGTTGGGATTGCTGGGGGGGGTTTCCAATAAAGACTTTATCCCCTCGTTTTTTCCTCGGAGAGAGAGGAGAAGGGCAACGGGAGCAGCTTTTCTGGGGCTTCCCAACTCCTGTGAAACATCCAGAGCCCTGGCTCGCTTGGAAAAATATAATTTCCCAGGTCCAAACCCCAAATTCCTCTTTGCCAGCTCCGGGGGATATTCCTTGGAGCAAAGTCGAGGAGCAGGAGGAAAATGATTGCACCTCCGTGCCCAAGGGATAGGGAGATGGAAGTAGTTTTCTCCCTGCTGGAAAGTGTCTCCGTGTACATAAAGAAATCTTAAGAGGAAAAAGAAAAAAAAAAATTATTGGCTTAGTTTATAAAGCTATTAATTAGATTTCAGGGCATTTTGGTCCCTGGGTCTTGTTTAAAGGCAAACTTGAGGAAGAGAAGGTGTTGGTGGGGTGGTAAGGTGGGGCAGGAGGTCAGGACTGATGGTTCTTTGTGCCCCAGCTCTGAGCAGGCTCCCTGGAAAATAGATTTAAGCCTTCATTTCCCCCTGATATAGATAGTATTTGTCCCTTTCACAGGAGCATTTGGCTAAATACACTTGTGTGCCTTTCCAAATGCTGAGGTGGGAGAATCTAGGGGGGAGTGAAACTCTGTTTAGGAGAAAAGCAATATATTAAAAAAAGTAGATATTTCCTTCTACTGTTTGTCTGAGAAGTAGATATTTCCTTCTACTGTCTGTCTACTGTTTGTAGCCGTGACCCTTCCCTTTCACTCCCCACCTGGTCACTGTCTGAGGAGACCAAAGTCCCTTCTGGAGGAGTTAATGCCATTCCCTCCATTGGATTTGGGGACAAGTTGGGTGGCACGGAGTCGTGGAGGAGATGGGGAGAAGAAGGGTCTTCATCCCACCGCTTAGGACACCCCGACTTTCATGGCTGCAAGGGCAGAAATGCCAAACTGTTAATGAAGGGGCGTTTTGGGGTGGAAAAACCCACTCCTGCCTGTTTCTAGAGACCGCCAGGATAAATCTTTCCTGGCTTTTCATTGGGAGCAGGGCTGAGCTCAGCTGATGGACAACTTCAGGCTGGTGACACCATCCCTCCCAGCCCTCTGTGTGTCCAAAAGGGCGCCCTTTAGCGCATTTTTAATCCTGCCAAAAACACCGGGGAGGTGAAATGGTGGCGGAGTTAAAAATGGAGCAAACTGGAGATTCCATTTCCAAAGGCTGGGACCAGCTCAGGACAGCTGGGATGGATGGATGGATGGATGGATGGAGTTTAACCAGTTTGGTTAAACCAGTCTCTTATCTCCGCTCCCGGAGGGAACCGGCGACTCGGAAAATGCAGGAAGAGGATCTGATGCAGTTGGTGAAATTACTGCTTTGCTGGGTTTTTGTGTGGTGGACAGGGAAGGGGTTGTTTAGACAAGGAAAAGAGGATGTGATGGATATAAAATGCTGGAGCGTGCAGCCCGAGCCTGATCAGGTTGCTCTTTAATGTTTTCTTACGGTGTAAGAGTTGGGAACTCGGTAAAGTCGAAGGCCATCCTTTTAAAGCTGAAAAAAGTTTACTTTTTTCTATCTCACATCTCATTAACCCGTGGGAATGGGTAATTGGGAACCCGTGAGCTAATGCGTAACAGGCTTCGAAAAGAAAAGAGAGAGTTAAAAAAAAAAATTACACTTAGATGTATAATGAGGACATCTGCAGAGCTGAGCTGAGCTCCTTTTCACTAAACGGAATAAAACCCATTTATAAGGGCCATAAACCGCCGCGCTCGGGGGCATTAACCCCATGGCTGGCTGATGGGCGGTGGCAGGAGTCTCCCCTGTGGGTTGGGGATCCCATAATTGTCCATTACAGCCCTTGGCAGGCTTTTCCTGGAAAAGCTGGGGCCGACCATTGTGGGAGAGAGGATACTGCCCTGGGATGGACACCTCTTTGATCCAGGACAGTATTTCCTATGCCAAAGAAAAGGTTTGCTACATCAGCGTTATTTCCCCCACCACCACCACAACAACCTTCCTCTCCTCGCCCTAAATCTCATTAGTTTGACCTTTTTCAAAGTGCTTTATCGCTTGGAAGTGCTGCTCAGAGGGCACTCTCGGGTTAAAAATCTGATTTTTAACCCAGAAGGTGATGAAATGGAACAGGGAGGGTAGACCTGTTTCCCCGTCCACCTGCCCCCTGTCCGTCCTCAGGAGGATGGAGCTGCACCTTGGTTTGGGTACCAAAAAAAGTTGCTTGGATGCTTGGTGCTTTGAGGATGTGGTGACTGCAACTGGTGGTGGGGGGAACACACTGATGCTCCATCACTTGTCTCGTTTATTCACCATTAACACCATTCCTCTGGCTCCCTGGCACCAGTTTGTGCTCTGGGTGCAGCCCCTTCCTTCAGGGAGAAGGGGTGGGAGGGTGAAAATGCTTTGTGAGGGCAGGAGGAGATACATATAGATATAGATATTTCACAAAATCAGATCCTTGGGAGCAAGGGAGCTGAATCCCAGCGTGCGAGCAGCTTCCTGCCCGCTCAGCCCCTTCCTGAGCTCAAGTGGAGCAGCTTTTTATCTGAGGTTGCTCCGGGAGCTCATAAAAGATGATTCCTCTGGGCAGCTTCCCAGATCGCTCCCCACTTCCCTTCTTTCTCTTTTAGAAGTCGCTCTTGGCTGCGGGTCGTTATTTGGCCTGATAATTGCTTTTTGCTTCCAGGAAAGGAGTTTCCCATGAAAAGGACGTGCCGCGTAGCTCCGCTTCTCTGGCTCATTTACTCGCCCAGAAAGGCCTCAAATCAGGCTACAAATAAGTCTCCTGAATTTTCCTATTAGCAAGAAGATGGATATCCAACCCCAACCCGCCGGTTTTCTTGGCCTTGTTTTCTCTCTGACTTTTCTCTTTCCTTCCCCCCCCCGGCCGTAGGGACTCCCATCAATCGGATCCCCATCATGGCAAAGCAGATCCTGGACCTCTACATGCTCTACAAGCTGGTGACGGAGAAGGGAGGGCTGGTGGAAATCATCAACAAGAAAATCTGGCGAGAGATCACCAAAGGCCTTAACCTGCCCACCTCCATCACCAGTGCCGCCTTCACGCTTCGAACCCAGTAAGTCTTAAGAGGGTTGGATGCCAACCTGAACTGGGAATTGGCCAAGCAGGGACTGGGGTGGAAAAACCAAGACCAAATGTGGTCAGAGAGGAGCTGATGAATTGCTTTCTTTATCCCTCTCACCCAAGGGTTGCTGTTTTTCTATTCCTTCTCCCCTTCTTTTTCAGAGCAGGGATCCTTCCTGGTAGGGTTTGAGGAACCCACCACAATTTGTTGTCCTTCAGACAATTCTTCTCTCACCCAATGACCCCTCCCCACCCGGGAAGGGGAATTGGGGAAAACCAAGGGAACACGAGGGTTGAAATAGATTTCATAGGATAAGACTAAATAATTAACAGGAATAACACTAAAGAACCAGTGTTGATCTTAGTATTGATATGAAAGGATTATACTCGGCCCATTCCATCCCAGGGAGCAGGGACAGCCAGCATGGGACACTGTGACTTCAGGAGGAAGGGAAGGGCTCAGGGCTCCAGCACCAAAGCAAGGAGTTCTCGGGATCCCAGCCATCGAGGGAGAGAGAAACTCCCCAGAAAAGTTTCTAATTTATACTGAGTGTGTCATTCATGGTGTGAAATAACCCTGGTGGCAGCTTGGGTCAAGTGCCCAGTTCTCGCTCCTCCTCATCCTCGCACCTGGGGAGCTGGAAAACACCAAGACCTTGAATCCTGCACAGAATATCTGGCTGTAAAGTAAATATTTTCACAAATTCGGATGCTGGAGTGTCAGAATCACAGAATCTTCTAGGTTGGAAGGGACCTTAAAGATCATCTTGTCCAACCGTCAACCTGACAAAAATAGACACCCACACAACAAACAAGGAGCATCATCACTAAACCAGACCTCCCAGCACCACATCAACCCGTCTTTTGAACACCTCCAGGGATGGGGCCTCAACCCCCTCCCTGGGCAGCCCATTCCAAGGGCTGAGAACCCTTTCAGTGAAAAAATTTTTCCTAATATCCAGCCTGAACCTCCCCTGGCACAACTTGAGGCCATTTCCTCTTGTCCTGTCGCTGTGACTTGAGAGAAGAGACCGACCCCCACCTCTCTACACCCTCCTTTCAGGGAGTTGTAGAGAGCAAGAAGGTCTCCCCTCAGCCTCCTCTTCTCCAGGCTGAACACCCCCAGCTCCCTCAGCCTCTCCTCACAAGACTTGTGCTCCAGACCCCTCACCATCTTTGTCGCCCTTCTCTGGACCCGCTCCAGCCCCTCAATGTCTTTTTTGTGGTGAGGGGCCCAGAACTGGACACAGCCCTCGAGGTGAGGCCTCACCAGTGCCCAGTACAGGGGGACGATCACCTCTCGGGCCCTACTCCCCACGCTGTTCCTGACACAGGCCAGGATGCTGGTGGCCTTCTTGGCCACCTGGGCACACTGCTGGCTCCTGTTCAGCCAGTCTAATGTTCAGTCTTCTAAAAGCGCAGTTTTCCCAAGCATTTGAGGAGAAATTAGTCCTGGGTCGTTCAACCCAGGAACTTTTCTCTTTCCCCTTCCATCCCAGCACTATGGTGCCATGGCCTGGGTCGCTGAGCTCCATGCCTCCCTCCACCTTCTGCCTCTCCTGCCTTTTCAGAGCCACAATTCCTCAGGGCGAGGAGACTCTGTCTCCAAAAAGTCCTTGGCACAGGGGAGGAGGCATCAAGTAGGAACTTGATCATTTCACATCTTGCTATCACCACTAAACGGTGGAAACTTGCATTTAGCACCTACTTATTGTCAGGGTTGTTTTTCCGACCTCAGGTTGATTGGGCAAGCGAAACAGAAAAGACAAAAAAAAGGAAGAAAAAGCAGAATAAGCAGAGAATGGTTAAAGTAAACCTACTTTAAAATTTAAGCAAGGGAGGGAGAGGCTGCGCTTTAGCGACTTGAGCGCTGGGAATCCACACCCGGCTCTTCTACAAACTGGGTTTACTGGAAAGTTATTAGAGCCCCTGAGTCCCAGAGAGGGGAAACTCCTTGCTATTTTGACCTATTTAGCCTTTGGTACCATCAGGCTGTCTCCCCCAAACGTGCCCTCCGACAGGGGTGGTGCTGCCCCACACAAGTGGCTTGGACACGGGTAATTCCTCAAAATCCCTCGCGTTAAGCGTTGAGAGTCCAAGATCTTAATTCTTGGCCTTTTTAGATGGTATCTCAGTTGTAAAAGGAATTGTGAATGATTCTTTTCCACCCTTGTGGGTTAAATAGTAGGTAACTACGTGCTTCCCTGGAAATATTGAGTTAATTCAGTTTCTTTGAGAGCCCTGGGCTTCACACCCGGGCTGCACGATGCTCCTCTATCAGACCAAGTGCAGACAGAGACTCCAAATCTGCAGAGGACCTCTCTCTGAAACCTTCCTGAATGCAATGCTTGTAATCATAGAATCATAGAATGGTTTGGGTTGGAAAGGACCTCAAAGATCATCGAGTTCCAACCCCCCTGCCCTGGGCAGGGACACCTCCCACCAGACCAGGTTGCTCAAGGCCCCATCCAGCCTGGCCTTGAACCCCTCCAGGGATGGGGCAGCCACAGCTTCTCTGGGCAACCTGTTCCAGTGTCTCACCACCCTCAGAGTAAAAAATTTCTTCCTGAGATCTAATCTGAATCTTTTTTCTTCCAATTTAAAACCGTTTCCCCTTGTCCTGTCATTACCCTTCCTGGCAAAGAGTCCTTCTCCAGCTCTTCTATAGGCACCCTTCAGGTATTGAAAGGCCGCTAAAAGGTCTCCCTGGAGCCTCCTCTTCTCCAGGCTGAACAACCCCAGCTCCCTCAGCCTGTAATTTCATGTTCTATGGAGAAAACCTGCCTGAGTTCCCCCGTTTTCACCCCTCTCCCAGGTACATGAAGTACCTCTACGCCTACGAATGCGAGAAGAAGTCCCTCAGTTCTCCTGCCGAGCTCCAGGCCGCCATCGATGGCAACAGACGGGAGGGCAGGCGGCCCAGCTACAGCTCCTCCTTGTTCAGCTACTCGCCCACCACCACAGGACCTCCTTCCCTCCTCTCTCCCCCGAAGATCCGCTTCCCCATCATCGGGGTGGCCCCGGGCAGTGGGACCAGCAACCCTCGGGTGTCTCCAGCGGCGGCGGTCAGAAAAGGTGCGTGGGGGTGGCTGGGTTAAGAGGTACAGGCACCAAAACGTAATTCTTTATCCATTTTCTTCACCCAGACTAGTTGGGATTTGAGAGTGGTGGGACTTGGGTGGCTCCAGGGTTTGTAGAATGTTCCACCAGTGGTTTAAACCTTTACGTGATACTGGGGGGGAGTCCAACGGAGGTTATGAGGATGATGAGGGAGTGGAGCATCTCTCTGCTGAGGAAAGGTTGAGGGACCTGGGGCTGTTCAGCTGGAGAAGAGCAAAAAGAGGGGATCTCATCGATGTTGAGCAATATCTAAAGGGTGGGTGGCAAGGGGATGGGGCCAGGCTCTTCTCAGTGGTGCCCGGGGACAGGACAAGGGGCAACAGGCACAAACTGGAACATGGGAAGGTCTGTCTAAACGTGAGGAGGAGCTTCTTTCCTGTGAGGGTGGCAGAGCCCTGGCAGGGGCTGCCCAGGGAGGTGGTGGAGTCTCCTTCTCTGGAGACATTCAGACCCCACCTGGACACGTTCCTGTGGGACCTGCTCTGGGTGGACCTGCTCTGGCTGGAGGTTGGAGGAGATGATCTCCAGGGGTCCCTTCCAACCCCATATCGCTCTGGGATTCTGTGCTCAGAAGGGCTGTGGGAGGGATTAAGCGACTCGTTTCTGTTCCAGGTGAAGGTGTGCCCTTGACTGTGTCTATGCCAAACCGTATCGCCGTGCCAGTGACCTTGGCCAGCCAACAGGCAACCGTGGCAGCAAGAACGGCCACCCTGGAGCAGCTGAGGGAGAGACTGGAGTCGGGAGAGCCTCCGGAGAAGAAGGTCTCGCGGATGACGGAGGAGGAGCAGCGGCTCGTCCAGCAGGCTCTTCAGCGCAACCTCTTCAGCGTGGCACGACAGATCCCCATGAAGATCAAAATCAACGGCAAGGGTGAGCCAGCACCTCCGGGGACACAACGGGGCTGGGCAGGGGGTACAGACCTGGACAGGCTGGAGAGGTGGGCCCAGGTGAACCTCATGAGGTTCAACAAGAGCAAATGCAAGGTTCTGCACCTGGGCCGGAACAATCCTGGCCACCAATACAAACTGGGGGGTGAGGGATTGGAAAGCAGCCCTGAGGAAAGGGACTTGGGGGTGCTGGTGGATGAGAAGCTGGACATGAGCAGGCAGT